AGCCCAAACTATTATGATTCTATGACTCTAATATGAAATTCTACTTTAGGCACAAGTGTCCTGATCATATTGGCCACGTGCAGATGTTCTCCTTCCAAAGGGTTTCTTCTGTTGGCAATTCCAGATTTAAAGCCATAGCAAATACCTTAATGTCCAACCAGCCAAAGCAATCCCTTAAGTTTCCCCATCTCTGATCCTAGTGAGGTGTTTTTCCTCTCAAGGTTATTTTTCCCTTCACATAACCTGCTAAAAGAATTTCAGTTCACATTTCTTTTTAAGATCTGAAACACCCTACACATCCCCCCCACTCTCATTTTCTGAAATTCAGGGTCCCACTGGATTTCATCTTATCAGAGTACACCACTGGGTAAAGCAAGGCAGTTGTGGAGCAGCTCCTACTTTTTATGGGGATAACTGAACTACACAGACAAACCTTTTTTTCCTTGTTTCTTTTCCATGACCCTCAGGCTCCTTTCCTGCCTTCAGCAACAGAGATACTTAAATCAGTTTAATAGCTCTCATATCCATCTCACTTCTGTGGTCCTGCCCTATGCCTGTGTTTGTGCCAAAACAGCAGTGTATGTGTGTGGTCACAATGAAGGAGATTAAGGAAAAAGTCTTCTTAAGAGAGAATTTTTGCAGGTTTGGGTGTTTTTTTTTTTTCCCAAGCAGATCAAATTCCCAACTTATTACATGACCCAGCTGCACACACAGCTATCACAGCCAGGGTATGAAGATGAAACTGCTTAATATTAGCACTGTTAAGTGGGGATGTTTACAGTTATTTTCCTAGCAACCTTCTGCTGCCCAAACCAGCAACATTTCACAGACAAGTGAAATGATTTCACAGACAGCAAAATCCATCATAAGCTTCATCCATACAGATCCTTTTTAAGGCTGAGAAATTCTCTACAGAAAACAATTATGTGAATATCATTACTCCCTTAAGAACTTGCTCCAGTTCTTACAGCCAGCAAATCTTTCACTGCAAAGGGAAGGGCTAGAGAAATCAAGATCTTTTATCAAAGATAAAAGCCATTGCAAGGGAGAAATGAAGCTTTACAAGTGGATTGGAAGCCCTATTTTGGTAAAGAAACAATTAGATAAGTGGTGATGGGAAGCAGCTAAATTAAGATCTGTTTTCACAAATCTTGTTTTGCCATTTAATCCAAATGCTATAAAAAGTAAGCATGCTTGAGCAGTGCTGTACAGATGTCAGACTGCTCTAGGGAACAACAATTTGGGGGCACACAAGAGCTGCAGCATTTGTTGATTCTGAATCAGGGCAGAGAAGCACCAAAGAACACAGGGAAGGGGAGCACAGATAACACCAATGAATGATGCTCCAAGTTAAACTGCCTCAGCAAACACAGCAGCACCAAGCTCATGGGATAAGACTTTGGGGAATTTTATTATACACAGAACAGGTGGAATTGTTTGGCAGAGAGGGGCAAAAGAAGAGGGCAGAAGGCAAGAAAAGTTCTCAAAATATTGGAAAGTAGCATAATTTCTTTTTTTAAGTAGAGGACACTACTTTCCTTCTTGCTAGAAGTCACTACAAGGAAATATTTGCCTTAATATCAGAGAATCATTACTTCTGATAGTGCTATGACTATTGATATTGATGACTATGATATTGTGTAAGGAATAATAGAAGGCTACTTTCTTCAAGCAATGTATTTTTATTGAAAATGGCACAGAATAAATAGGTAGCATAAAGATTCAACAATAAAATTTAACATCTTTACCAATTCCCACCTTCCTTTTTAAATTTAGTATCTTTTAAAGTTACTAGTTAAGGAATAAAATTTCAGACAAGTTAAAATTCTTATAGAAGCCTATTTTTAAGAAAGAGTTCAAGTTGTAAAATGAAAAATCATCACACCACATGCACTTAAGATTACCAAAGAAAGGTGATTAACTACAGGGAATTCAGCAAAACTGTTGAGAGCTACTAGAGAACTCTTACAGTTAGGAGTGTAGAGGAAGGGATATATGCAATATATATGTAGGATATATGTAATATGGTTTTCATCTACACTTACCTTATTTTTTAAGTCTACCTATCACAATTTAAATCACTCCAACAACAAATTTATACCAATGTCTCTGTCCAAGAAAGTTCTAAATTATAATCCTCACACTTCAGTAGCAAATTTTAAGGATGGCACAAACCATGCCCTACCTCCTGTGCAGCCAGGCATGATTCTAAAAGGTTTTTAAGATGCACTGCAAGTGCCTTTTTTTCAGCAATTTGCAGGGGAAAAGGCTGTGGATGGAAAGAACAGATGACATGCTACAGGAAAGAATAATTTTTTACTTAAAAGAATAATAAGTATTCAAGATGCAGTAACTAAAGGCACTGCTGGAGGACACATGCATTTTTCTTCCATATAAGATTCCTGCTCTCCCTGGCTGAAGGCAGCATCCAAATTGCTTTTGCTTTTTAAGCAGTGGCTATGTGCATATTTTTTGGCTTTAAAGACAGCTTTGATACACTCAGCATGCACAACAATCCACACAACTGCACACAAAACCACTCCTTTATGTAAACCTACCTTTAACAGTTTTGACAAAGACTTGTTTTTCTTTACTGGGGTCTTTCTCCTCTATTAGGATCCCATGGAAGATGCGCCCAAATGTGCCTGTGAAGAGAACATACCATTAGTATTATCTGGATAACTGACAGAATTTAATATCTACTATGAAAATATTACCTTCAAATATACCAGCCACAGCAGAAAGCCAAGATCAATAGCAGTTAAAGTCCTGAGTGCCCTCTTAAGCCAAGAGTATGATTCTATGAATACACAACTCAACCACCTCTCCAGCACGAGGCAATTCAGAACTAGATGCAATAAATGCTGGAAGCTTTAGATAACTACAAGTTAGGGGGATAAACATGAGAGTAAACTAATGTTAGCAGCAGAATCCAGTTAAATAAACCCATCATCTGTATTGATAATTAATTTGTGGCAGTTCAGTCTTTGTCAGCTTTCTCCAGTTCCATCCTTTTCTCATCCAGGCAGTCTGGAATTCTCTAGTCAAAACATTTCTAACCAAGATGAAATTTTTCTGGAAGTGCTCAGTTATATACTGGTTTCAGCCAACTAGTACACATGGAGCCATTTGAAAAAAAAATAGCATTAATTGTTCCACCTTAGCTTGGAGGTGTTTGGTTTATTTAGGGTTTTTTTTCAGTGCCTCCAAAATTTTTCCATTCACAAAATTTGAATGATGCTATTGCAGGAAGAGGAGCTACATTGAACAGCTGGAATAAGAGCAACTGCAGCATGGTAAAACACAGAATTTTTATACAACTCAGGTTGGCAACACCTTTCTGTCACTGTTACTGTGGCAGCAGGATGTGCATCATCTTCATGCAGCCCATTCATTACATTACATCCCTTTCCCACTGATTTCTCCTGTCTGATTAGGCTAAAAAGATATTTGCTAGAATTGCTTTAGCCTGGGTAAGCACCCTCTGGAATGAAGATGGTGTCTAAAAGACTCTTCAACAGGGACAGTGCAGGATTTCTAACACCTACACCAGGACTGCAAGTGAACACTCCAAGACAAGGTTCTTCACATTGTCATCTCACTAAGAAGCAGTTTAACTAAGGAGACTGCAAGGCAAACATAAATATACAGCATGAATTATTAGCAGTGAACTAAAAACCTCCTGAAGACATCAAGAAAGTGCCTTAAATACATGTTTGCTCTATAAAGATATATTTGCTTGTTCCCCTTTGAAGCACTTTGGTTCTTAGACAACAGACACTCAGCTCTGCTACAATCCTGAGCTAAAAATCAATTCATTGTTCATCAGAATGTTTTCTAGTGACTTTTGAAGGTTTTGACAGACTCTGATAGTAGCCAGACACCAGGAAACACTAGCCCAGTATTAACTGGGCCCACACTGCATCCAGCAGCCACATCCAGCAGAAGAGGGCAGGTCTGTCACTGGGTGCTGAAAGTTTGGCTACAGCAAGAGAGTACAAAGGAACTCAAAGCACATCCCACATGAGAAGGAAGCTTTTGGGAGTCGAGCACAAAGCTGCCTCCCCTCCTTAGAGATTCAGAGGCACACATTAAGTAGGGAGTGGTAGCATCCTCCCATTGTTTTTCAGACAGTAATACAAAGCATTTAGCAGTTCTACATCCAAAAGCCTCTCAGATCTCTAGCTTTGGGAAGTCTAATTTCTCATGAGGCTCGGGGAACACAGACGTGACGTTAGAGCACTAAAGATTAATGACCAAAACTCTTAAATATTTAAGTTCTTCATCCAATTCAAGATCAACAAGAACCAAGAGTTAATCTACATGAACCCTTCCAAACAAGCCAAAAGAATCAGGTAATCTCGGAGTTTTGTTAATCAGAGCTGTAAATGTTGCATCTGATTATTAGGTTTCCAAATCAGAAGCTATCAAATTGAGACAATGAGTTTAGGCAACCAAGTTTTTTTGTGTGGGATTTGCAATATTTTTTGGTGGTGGTGGTTGCTTGGGGTTTTTTTTGTTGTTGTTGTCAAGAGAAGCTTTTCTACAGTAACTTACAGAAGTGAGTTAATTGGCCACTTACAGCCCCAACTGATTACCTCATTCCTTCACCTTTATTTAAAAAGCCTAGATTATTAATACAGACAAGCTGAATAATTTACTGAGCACAGTCACTCCCCCATTCTAACAGACTCTGGAAACTGCTTTCCCCACCCTCCCACGCCCCAAATGCAAACATTGTTCATCACTTTTCTCCATCAAAGTTATGAAGATCAGAAACGTCATCTGTGATTAACTTCAGAAAAAACAAGCTATAAAAATATACATAGTGCACGTTGCAGCCAACAAGTGCCTGAGCCCTGCAGACACATACCTTCTTGGAGCACATCTTTTAGAGTTATCCTCTCCCTGGAGATGGCTATGTCCTTCACTTTAGCTTTTGCTTCCATCAGAGTGACACTTTTAAGATCATTCTTCTCTATCCGTAACGTAGGGTAACCTGAGGAGCCAGCAGAGCCAAACAAACCAATATAAATACCCTGATGATGAGAACACAAGCACACTGCTTCACCTCAGCACCACCTACAGGCATAAAGACAGGCAAGCAGCATGTCCTTCAAAAGATTATACTATTATTAGACAACAAAATATGAGAGAATTCATGTGAATATAATCATCTGGGGGAGGGGGAAAGTCCCGCAGGAATTCTACACAGAGTCATGGAATTGAGGCTCATTATTAACCCCAAATAAACAAGAGCCCTTACACACTGAGGCTGATTGATGTGACACTGCACTTCTCTCCTACAACAAGGAACCAACTGTCTTGCAGTGAGGAAGATGCCTCAGCCCAGCAGGATGTAACCCAAACTACCAGTGCCCTCTTCTGGCACTGCTAGACATCAATATCATCAGAAAGTCCTGGAAGGTTTTTTGAAAACAAATTTGGAGTTATCAGAATCTGGAGGTGAGCATTGACTTTGATAATTTATATTTTTTTATTATTATTACTCAAAGTTTTAATAGGACTGAAAGTTTTTAGTATGACTGTGGAAGGATTAAAGGCATTCTTCCTGTTTATTTCATGCATCCAACCTTTTTTTTCCTTCTTCTACCAATTTTCTCTATTTTCTGTGCTACCAAGTGTGTCCCAAAACAAGGAAGATCCATTCTGAAACAGCACAGGCTGAAGGCAGCAAACAGGTGCTATTTAGGCTACCACACTCACCAAGGTGAGGAGGATTTAATCATCACTATGGGCTTAGTCCTCTCCTCTTTGCCACAATAATGAGTTTCCACGGGCCACATTCAAATTAACTGAAAGGTGTGACTCTCAGGGCCAACCTAAAAACCTGCTTTTCATAGGGTATCAACAGCACAACATGATCTGGGATAAAAGTCAGAAAATTAAAGAGGCTGGGGAGGGGCTCTGAGTGGCAAGAGGGAAATCCAGCTCAAAAATCAGTTGCATGCTAAGGTCTCTGACAAACTCTGTGGAAAGGAATTCTTAAATTAATGCTTCTACTAAATAAACTTTTAAATCAGCTCTTTGCATTTCATAGGGTATCAACAGCACAACATGATCATAAAAGTCAGAAAATTAAAGAGGCTGGGGAGGGGCTCTGAGTGGCAAGAGGGAAAACCAGCTCAAAAATTAGTTGCATGCTAAGGTCTCTTCCAAACTCTGTGGAAAGGAATTCTTAAAAAAAAAAATATTGCTTTTACTAAATAAGTTTTTAAATCAACTCTTTGCAAGGGAAAGATGAACTCAGATGACAAAAAGGATCTTTTGGTTATTTTTTTTTTTAGGGAAACACAGTATAATTTACAGTACAGTTTTAACATGGAGAAAAGGAGGCTCAGGGGAGACTTCATCACTCTCTACAACTACCTGAGAGGAGGCTGGAGTGAGGTGGGGGTTCTCTCCAATAACAAATGACAGAGCAAACAGCATCAGTTGCACCAGCAGAGGTTTAGACTGGGCATTAGGGAAAACTTCACTGAAAGCTTGTCAAGCCCTGGAACAGTGGAACAGGCTGCCCAGGGAGGTGGTGGAGTCACCATTCCTTAAGGTATCTAAAAGTTGTGTAGATGAGGTGCTTAGGGACATGGTAGTGAGGAAAGGGGAAAACACAGTAGGGCTGAATAGCAGCCACATTTCTGCAGTGCTCCCTCATGAATCTTCTCCAACATAAATGATTCTATTGAGCATTATGGAAGAGAAAAAAAAAAACACTAGTAGTAGTAGATGAAAACAGTAGCTATTTAATTTATGCTTTCTGAAAAGGTCAAGAGGGCCAGGGTATTATTTCAGCTTGGCAGTTTCTTGGCTGAGAAAAACAGCAGTTTGAGTTTAACAGAACTCAAGACACCAACTGACAGAGCCAGGAGATTACTCATGGTCTTTTCTACTTGATACTAAATCAGTGTGATCCTTATCACCAGATACTCCAGCCATGTCCAAGGAGGTCTGTAGCAAGGGTCTGTAATTAGATTAATACTTACTGGTTACTGGTGTTGCATTGTTTGGTGTGTCAGCTCTCAAGTACTGGGTTGTCTGTGTGGAAGGCTGGGATAAACCTTGTGAGCTACTGCTGTCACTAATGCTGTTTTAAAACAAAAATGGACATGAACATGACTGCTTGCTGCTGTGAGACATTCAAAATTAACTTATCAAAGTTAAAACCAGAAGATTTTCCAGGCTAGACTTTGAAAGAATGGCATTTTTCAAGTCCCTCACACATGAAAATGTATTCCAGGTAACTCAAAAATCTCAGCACTGCTGCCCTTGGAGTGGAAGCAACTACCTCCTACTTGTTTTACAGAATTTGTTCTATTTTCCAATACTGCTTCCCCACTTTTGAAAGACCAACAAGACAAAGCACTTATTGCAAGAACCACTCTGTCATATCAGAAGCAATGGAGTTACTGTACTCCAGAAAAGACCTGTAGGCATTTTTCCTGGTGCCAGCATCCCAGTGAGAATTAACAACTGCAAAAGTCTGAAAGCAGAAGCCTGAGCTAAGCACAGAGGCACCTCTAACACCCTGCAAAGCTTAACTAGCTTTTTCAGCTAGTTTTTTTCCTGTGAAGAGTTGTTGTGGCTGTAATGGCCCAAGAACAGCTGAGAAAGCTTGCAGGCAAAGGCAGTACCTGTTAGCAGCTCAGATGGCAGGGCCAGAAGCAGCTTTTTTTGATCTCCCTCCCAAATACACAGAAACACATCCCCCTTTTTTGGAAGTTAAAAGCTTCTTCACTTCTGCTGAGTGCATCAGGAGTGCAAAGAGGAGATTGGGTTTGGGTATAACCCTCTGCCCTTGACAAATCAATGCCCCATTTGCTGCTGAGGCTGATGTTGAGCACTGACCAAGCAGCACTAGTCATCCTTGTAGGATTTTTAGACATGCTTGATGATGCCCTCAAGGAGCAGTGGTAGCACTGAAGCAAGGCTTCCTTTTAAAAAATAAGGGAAAAAAACCCAAATCACACAGCCAAGCCAATTCTTCCCCATTATCCCATCCTCACAGATGCACCTGCTGGATTGATTTTCTTTTTTTTCTTTAAAACAAAATCTAATTCTCACAACACAAACATCAAACTTAATCATTTATAGCTGGCCTCAGACTCTCTGGAAACCTTTGATCAAGTTATTCCCACATTCACTGTCTTCCAGGTGTAGGGATCCAGCACAGTTTTTAGCACAAGGTTCAAAGCCACAGTTGGTGGTCTATGCTTTAGAGTTTTTGAATTAATAACCTCTCAGGCATTAATAAATTGTTAGCACATTTTCTTTGGCACTTTTTCAAGTCCCTTTCACAGGATGTACACAAGCATTTGCTCTGAACTTTCAATCCAAAGTTCTTCAACAGACCATATGCAGCCTGTAAACTCAGCTGCCTGGCTTTAGCTTCTATTTAACCACCTCCCTTCCTCTTTTTTTAATTTATTTCTGGGTTTTTTTTGAAATTAAGAACAACAGCAATGAGTCGTTCAGCCTCTGTTGCTCCTGGGAGGTCATTAACCCTAATGACATTATCATCTGCATTTCAGAATGCCTTTACAAGCAATGTTTGGAGCTTGTTATTCAAAACCAAATCAAAAGTTGTTTCTTCTCTCACAAATTCCTTGACTAGTTGGCTACACCAAGCAGTCACTGCTCAGATGTGATGCTAGTGGATACCACTGAGGCTTCATTACAACACTGAGGCAGTTTCTCAACCAAGCACTGAAACATCACCTCACAGGCTCTTTGCTAGCTCCATTTTGAAAACAAAACCCCAGAGATCCTGATTTTCAGGCACATTTTTCCCTCTGCTACAGCAAAGTTTGACCACAGCTCTTACCCAGGAGCCCACCCAAGGTTTTGTCAGGTCAGGCACCTTTGGGCTCAAAAGGCAAATCTTTTTAATGGCTTTCTGAAGAACTAAATCCCACTATCCACACAAACTTCACAGAATTTATCAGAAGGCCACATACTGATTTAAATTCTTTAATACCTCCAGACTATTGACATTAGCTGAATTTTTTGCTTCTATCTCCACAGAAATCAAGTAGAATGGAGCAGATGAAAGGACACTTGATCACATTGCTAGGCTGAGACAGTCTCTCAAAAAACTCAAGTGATGACACTACTCACATACTCTGTAAGTGTAATGCTTTTCCTTTCTGAATTAAAGCAAGTTCCACCTTCTATTGATTAAAAACCCTCAGTAGACAACTGGGCAGAAATGAATTGAGGAAAGCTGACAAGTCATTTGGGTAGATAATGGGGTCTTGAGAAACCACTCTGCTTACTACTCTGACATATCTCAAACGTCAAGTGGTCTGAGGACACCAAAGCAGCAAACTGCAAAAAGAAAACCAGAAAGAAACAGATGGCAGGACAGAGAGGAAGATGAAAAGATAGAGCTACTCCAAGAGCCTGCAGGAAGGAAGAGAAACAGTTCAAGAGACCTTTTCAACAGGGCTGACCACCCACAGGCCCAGTTGTTTTCCAGAGTATTCAGTTTCAAAACTGTCTGCTTCTAAACAGTTGTATCTGATACTGCTTGGTCACAGGGCCTCAGCACAGCTTCAGTCACCTGCTTTTTCAGCCCCCCTTGTGCCTCAGGGTTTAATCCCCACTCAGCTGACTGCATTGCCCCTGGGTTCATGTTACAAGGCTTTTTTGTATGCATGTGACAATTTGGTTTTTCTGGATTGAAAATACATCTGGGAGAAACATGTTTTCAGCTTTATAACCAACCAGTTGTAATCCCCAGATTTACCCCAAGGCCAAGGTGAGCACTGGTAAATCAATCAAAACAGAGAAAACTGAAATTCAATCCCCTGTAGAAGTCAGTAGTAAACAAGTATTTTCAGTGTGCCCAAGTTTCTATCAAATTTTTGTTCAATCTTGACAATCCCTGTAGATCTGGTTTAGTCCAAATTTCCCCACTGTGCATCCTCCACACAACTATTCAGGGAAAAAAAAAGAAATCCAACAGCCACAACCCTCTCACCCAATAAACAGCAAAGCACCTGCAACTGCTGCCTTTCTGCAAGTAGAGCACTTACCACAACTCTACACAGGTAGTAACTGCTACAGCTTAACATCAGGAGCAGGAATTGCAAGCTACTGCAGAGCGACCATTTTGAGGTCAAAACTCCCACAAATCTGAGTAAATGTGCCCCAAAACCACACTTGAAAAGTCTGAATACATACCTGTCATCCAGCTCTATCCTTTTCATGCTGTGGAGGTGCAAGACAGCTAAGATTATTGCCACCAAGAATATAACAGCACAGCAGACACCTACACTGATGTAGAACACGCGGGTGGAAGTGGTGGGAGCTGTGTTCACAGGATCAACTGAAACAGAGAGAGGAGAAGTTCCTGAGTCTTTGTGGAAAAAAAAAATACACAAAAACAAACCAAAAAAATCCCCCAAACCAACCAGTTCACCCTCTTTCTCAAAAGAATCTCAACTATGGCAAGTTTTACAGCAAAATTCTGTGGTTGCACCTTAGCAGCAGAGGGCTGTCACTGTGCTGGCCCTCAGCTAGTGCCAAGCAGCAGGGTGGGCACAGGGCCTGGGGGCAGAAGAGGCAGCAGCCCTGGCCACCTCTCCAGTTTTATATGCCACACCATGGAGAACAACTGCCCTGGAAGAGACAGCAGGAGGTAAAGAGAGAACTGACCAATGCGCTTCGCCGCTTGTGAAAGCGGTGAAAAGAACATCACAAATTTGTCAGTTTTTTCACCCAAAGTAAGTTGTGTACACTCTGAATTACTTACAGATAGCCTTGCTGCTGTTTTTATCAGATGCTGGAGATTTTACTTCTGGTTCAAGCTCTAAAGAAAGGAGACAAACCCATGAAGTTTAGCATGCTTTTATTACTGGAAGCCCTTCACAGGAACTGAATCGCCTCATTTATGGAAAAAGAAATCTGCTTTTCCAATTAGGTGAGCTGACTTAAGGACTATAGTTATCTTTAGATTTCTACTTTAAATACATAATCACTGTATAATTAAAAAAAAAATACACTTCTTTAAGACACATGGGTTAGGTATATTTCACTACTCATACACATGTCCATTGAGGCCATGCTTGAACCCACTGAATCCACCTACCTCAAAAAACCCTCTAGCTTGTCCACCAAAGTCCAAAGCAGCAGACAGCACAAAGAGGAGGTAGAGAGTATGTGAGTGTATGCCAAGACACTAAACAACAAAGACTTCACAGAATCTGTTACTACAGGACAGAAAATAATTTCTTCAATGACCCATCAATACCAGCCTGACCTTTGAGAAGAAATTCTGGCTCTAGTCCAATGCTACTCATCCTAGGCATAAGTTAGAGATGGGCACTGTGCCTTCTCAGATGATGCTACAGTGATGAGTGCTTTAAAACTGAAGGATGAAAAAGGTAATGCCAATTTAAATACTCAAATATGGAACAAAAGGCACAAGAATACTTAAGTTCATGTGTGAAGGCAGTCCTCTAGAAAGGGGATAAATCTTCATTAAGCTCACTGTGAGTCTGGTCACTAAGAGGAGCAGTGCAAACCATCCTAGCAAAAATCCATCCCAGCTTTTCCACTCACACCACCTGCAAGTTCATCCTTAGACATTCATACCCAAGACAAGTGACAAACTCCCCTCTGAAAAGCCAACTACAAAACCTGAAAGGCTCCAAGTAAACTGAACAGAGCAGGAGGAGTGTGTAAACAGAGAGGTGGCCATCCTCAAATGCTGCCTGAGAACAGGACACCACAGCCATTTTTAAAGAAGGTCCAGTTCTTGGGATTCTCCAAAATCATTTTCTTCTGATGCCTAGGAAAATACTTCTAGGAAGCAACAAAGGGAGTTAGCACCAATCTGAGAAGAAATTGTGCTTGCAGATTACCAAGTCAAAGCACAGAAGAGTCAATCTGGGATTCCTGAAGTCTGCATTATCTGCCAAGAATATTCTGTATTCCAAAGTCCAAAAGATTAACACCAGCTTACATTCACTAAACAGCAAATTTTAAGTTTATCACACTTCATAAACTAAGTTGGTAATTCTCTGAAAAATTTGAATATTCAGACTGCTGCAGTTCTGAGGAAACTAGTTTATTCCTTCAAAGCACAACAGAGAAAATGCTTTTTGCTATACATGTAAAAAAATCAGTCAGTGCAACAGAACACTTGGGAAATTTGTTCATCCATCAGCTTCTGCTTTTACTAAAATTTTTACTATAATTTGACCTGGTTTCCTCCTCTCCAACACTCACTCATGTCCTCCATCATCTGCCTTCCCAACCCTTTTTCCTACAGCATTTTAACACTGAAAGTGTTCTAAGATTTGAAACTCAATATCTTACTTTTGTAGCACATTTTCCTTCGTTTGAAATTTAGAATTGTGATGTTTTTTGATGAATTTATTGTCAAGTTGAGCTGCATTAGTATTGTGACCTCAGAGTCGAGTCTGCCAGTGCAGGAGAGTTCCACACGAAACACTGCAAAAAAAAAATCAAACATGAAAATTAAATTCAAGCACTTTTCATACACTGTAGTGAAAGAACAGTTAAATGTTGATAACATACTTTTTTTTTTTTTAAAACTTGCTATTAAGAAATGCTATTTTAGTCTTCATGCCTTGCCATTTCAGGGCATAGATTGATTTAAAATCTATGTAATATCAGAAGTTTACAGGTTACTAAGATTGTATTTGTGGATAAATGACCATTAACCATCTATTAGCTTTGGAGTTAAAATGCTGTCACAGAAGAAACCTCTGTTACCACAGGAACCAGAAAAACTTTTGTTTTCTTTGTTGCTTTGTTCCCTGGGGAACCTGTGCCACAGTCTCACCACCCTCATAATGAAGACCTTCATCCTTATATCTAAATCTCCCCTCTTCCAGTTTGTCTTCAAGTTTGGATGATTTTTTTCATCAATTCATTCCAGGAACCTCCTGGATTGTTGGTTATCTGCTGTGTTGTCCATCCAGCAGATAATCAGAGTGGTTCCAATCCCCCAGGAGGACCAGAGCCTGTGAACATGAAGCTGCTCCTGTCTGTCCATAGATGGCCTCAGCCACTCAGATAATTTGTACACCACTATTATTGATACAAACAGAGCAGACAAGCCTAATTCTTCCCTAGCACCTGCTGTCACAAAAAAAGCAGTACACAACCAAAACATCCAGGAAAATCTCTATTCCCCACTAAACAAGGGGAAAAAAAATACTACTTTCAGACTAATCTCAATGTAAAACCTTTTAGCAAGGTCACTATTTTGCAGGAAGCCTGTAAACATTATGTTTAATAGCAAAAAATTATGCTCTTGCACAAGATTACATACATTTTGGGGAAAAAAACCAACAAGTACCACCAGAAAGCATCATTAGTATCAGCACTAGCTGTGTGTGAACATGGGAGGTGTGGAGCTCACCTGAAAGGGTGCGAGGAACTTCTCCTTGTAGAGAAATGTTGGCCTGGGGCATAGCCATAGCCATGGGATTGTCCACCTGAAATCCCAGTTTATACTCAACCTGCAGCAATAGTTGGGAGACAAAGCATGTAAGAAATTATTACTAAAAAGAAATGCTACAGACCTTTTCATAATTCTTGACATTTAAGAACTGTATCTTCCCTTCAAAGAAGGCTAGTGATTTGAGGTGCCCACATTCAGGAAGTCTAAAACCAGACTTTTGTGACAGTTCAAATTAACAAAGCCAAAACAGAAGCCACTCTTGAAACCACTCTTGAAAATTTGGGGCAGAATTTAAAGTACTTTATTTAAAAAAAAAGAAAACAAAAAGCCCTCAAACCAACCAACCACAAACCTCTCTTGCTGATACTTTTACATTTCCTTGTTCAAAAGCCAGTGTGCTAAAACCATAGGAATTTTAAAAATTCCCCCTCCTCTAGTGAGTTTTATAAACTGTATGGTCAAAATTGCTCAATGTTGCCTAACAGTGCAATTACAGTAATGAAAGGAAGGCTACACAAGCTCAAAAATTCCTGTTGACCATTCACAGCCAGGTCCAAGGAAACTCAAGGCAGGGAAGAACACTGGCAAAAGGAACCTTCAGGAATTGCTCTGGTGGAGTTGCTAAATATTGCTGTTGCCACAGGAGTCTTTCTTGCTTAAGGACAGATGAATAACCACCACTCAAGTTTTTTAAAAAAAATTAAAAATAACACAACACCAGAATGAACATCTGGCAGAGACTAAACAGATCATTTCATACACATAAATAAATTGTTAAGTAACTGGAAATCCTTCAAAAATATAAAGATTGCATATGCCTTTATGACAGCTGTTGCTGCATGCTCCAGCCATGGTGATTAAGCAAAATAAAAATCCCTTTCCATTTAATTAAGGCTTGATAATAACATGCTAGATGCTACATTTAGAGGTTTTTCTTTTCTCCCAACATATGTTTCTAGAAATCTCTACAATGTAGCTGCTCTACATTTGATTTCCAGGGGCTTCTGTTCCTAGCTGCCCCTTCTGTGTGTTCAGTGCACCACCAGAAGAGATTCCACAGCTTGTATATAGACACATGTAGCTTGTCAAAAGCAAGCAGCAGAAAATACTTCAGAAGAAGTGCTGAGCCTTTCTAAAACTAGAAAGGAACAGTTTGGATGCTCACTGTCTGCAATCACATAACTAATTCTTTTGCACTGCCCAATACATATCATGTACCAAGTGTTCAGATATGTTATGTTTGCCTACCTTGGATTTAGCATGCCAGCTGAAGTGAAGATTGTTGGTCTCACTGGGTATCAAGAGATTGAAGGACAATGCATAGTGATTAACCACATCATTCCTCACATAAGATAACTCTGCATTAAGACCTGTAAGGAGAAAGGAAAGTGTAAGGTGAGGGAGAACAAGACCAGCACTGGATTAAACAACCCTCAGTATCACCAGCTCCACCTGTATTGGAAAGTTTAAGCAAATACTTCCTCAAGTCCATAAACTCAACTGCAGGCTCAGAGAAAATACTTATGCACATCAGCTTTAACAAGAGTGCCTCAAATTCTTACAAAGCAACAGGTTCAGAGACAACTTTTTATACAATCCTCCAGAAGAATCATTCCAGACTCTCCTGAAGGTACTCCTGGCTGCTTCTGGGGATCCTGAGTCCAGTTTTGCTCTTATTTACAACTGTGTCCATTGAAAACAAAGTATTTTGGATTATCAGCTTGTTAAACTGCAGGTAATTGTTGCCAGAATAGCTCATTTCTTGAGCCTGAGACACACAGACTATGGAATTAACTTCAGGGTAACCAGTTGACAGTACAAAGCACACATTTGAGAAGAGGAATGACATTTGTACACAAAATAATACTAATATTTTCTATCTACTCTTTGCCTTCTGAACATTAATACACCCAGAGAATTAAAAGCCTAAAAAAGTTAATCAAAAACCATATATTACAGAACACTAAGATGTGTTTTTCCTAAATGAGACAAATACTCTGCTATTAAAAATACTGAATGAATTCATTATCTTTTGCAACACACATTCCAAGGTCACAGTGAACACAGGGTAGCACCCTCCAGCTTGCCCTGGGTGTCACTAGGAACTAGTGCTACAGGAAGCATTACAATCTAACCCCCTTCCCTGCAGCCATAAAATTAATCCCAGCTCCATATCCTCAGGACAGACCCATGCTGTACCTGGAGTATCATTTTGTCTTGTCTCATACAGCTCCTCCTCCCTTGCTCCAGTTAAATGCTGTCCAGGCTCAGCAATCTATTGACATGCTAAAAGAATAACTGGGCAAATCAGAAGCACGTGCATGCTCTAAAAACAAGCTATGCAAAGGCAACTGAGTCCAATTAAAATATCCACAGTACAATTGGGGGCATAAATAATGGAATTATTTTTTATTATGGCTAGAAAGTCAAGAAAATGAGAAAGGTTGTGACTCCAAGATGACAGCATTTAAGGCACCCTGAGGTTACTGCAAGAACCTAGGGAATCATGAAAGGGTTTATTTAAAGACAGAAAAAATAACATCTAGGATAACCACTGAACTGTGTGGACAAGCTGCATTTGAAGAAAGGGAGAATCAGCTTGAAAGAAATCATTCTTCCTATCTAGTGCAAAAACTGGGCACAGATCAATGCAAAGTGATAAAAGTTCTCTTATTCCAGACCTTGATTTAATCCACTCTGTTTTCCCAAGATACAGAAACACAGCCAAGACATTCCTCTTCATGCTTTTTGCTGTTAACCACTTTAACTCCCTGCTGGCTCATTAGTGTCCTGAAACTTAACCAAAACCCAAGAGCCTATAATCACAGACACTGGGGGATGGCAAGGCAGAGAGCCCTAGAGACTGAATGCAGCAAAGCAATGAACACAGAGTAATCCCAGAGAGAAACACTCTCAGACAAGACCTTGAATGGAAAAAGATGCAGGGGAAGCCTTAAGTGCTGAATATCATCAGCCTGAGATGGTCTATAAAAAGTTAAACCTTTCTTCTCCAATTTGTCCATATTTCCACTCAATAATTAATGGCAAATCATAGAATCAGTTAGGTTGGAAAATACTTTGAAGTTCAAGTCCAATTGTTAACCCAGCAGTGCAAAGTCCACCCAATGCAAAAGCATATTCACTAGTAAAATACAGAGGAGAGGGAAGCACACCATGAGATTAAGGTGATAATCCTTGATTCAATGTAAAATTTGGTCACAGAAATCAAATGGATACAAATCAACAAAATCAGTCTAATCTTTAGGCTTTAATAGTGGTAAAAGACTGAAGTACTTTGATTATATAGCCCACTAATGTCTTAATACCTACACTGCCATAAAAAGCTAACAGGCAAAGCTAATTACACAAATTTCAACAGCATCAGGTAAGAGCAGCAGGAGAATTGAGGTCAAATTTTATAGCTTAAAAAAAATTATGCTCTAACTAAAAGACGAGTGTATAAAAATAATTTAAGAGCTCCACTACAAAACCTCTTATTAAAAAGGCAGAGGACTGCCTGGCTTAGTATCCTGTTTCTATCAGGGGTCTTCAGAAAATGCCTAGGGAAGAGTATAAAAGCCTTTTATCAGTAATTAAAATGTTTCCTCTATAGCACATCTTTCCCCATCAGTGAACTACAGACAAAATTCACATTGCCAGGCACAGCTAAGAACTTGTGTCCACCCCAGACAAACAAGCTCATCTCCCTCCCCCCAATCTGCCCCAGTTTTGCTCTCAGATCATCCTTCCAGCCCTGATTTTTCATCCCCTTGCTGCTTCCTACACCTCAGTCCTGAACTCCTGAAGTACTTTGTTGATATAATCTCAATCAAGACAGCAAAAATACCAAAAAAAAAGTTGCAGGTGAACCTGCCAGTCAAAAAAAAGCCCCTTGCCTCCTCACTGCTTAGATTGACAGACTAAGTGCTATTAGTAACTCTCTCTGGAGTGGACATTAAAAATGGTGAAGGGGTTTACAAGAAACTCTTTAGGCTCCATTTAGCCTCCATTACCATGATAGTTTAAGTTCACCTCAGAATTGCTTTAATTCTGTCTTTCACCTTTTTTATTCAGACCAGCCTTGCCATGTTCCTTGTTTAACCCTTCAGCAGGCCAAGTTCAGAGTCAAGCTGGCACTCTTTCAAACACAGCAGCAGTATAGGATGTAATCAGCCCAAGCAGCAGGTGATTAAGGAAGAGAAGATAGAAACAAGGTTTGTTTTCCCATCATTTTGGCTTTCAAGAATGGTTAAACTCCTAACTATTTACACTCAAACCTGTTGACTGGGTGGCAGGGGGAATATAACTCTGCAAGATGTCTGGTTCCTCTTAAGGTGTTGAACACTTTAAGTAGGGCAAATACACCAGCAAGCCAGAACAAACCCAAATTGGTATGTAATGGTTTATGTCATATAGGGAATAATAAAAGGAGAAAACAGGTCACTCCAGAAGAAAAATACAGATTAATTACAAATAGCTAGACAAAACAGGCACTTCTTTAATAATTTTCTTGTAGGCAATGCATCAACCCATGTGCAAACAGCAAGACTAATGCTTTGCTTTAATTTTAAGGTAGAAACATCACCCTTTCTAGCCAGGCAATCCCTAAATTTCATTATTAATTTCCACATATTTGCACCTCCCGCCCTTGGGTGTGAAATCGAAAGAATAAATTAAAGCTGAAGACAAAAAGGTAAATTTAAGCAGCACCACAGAGAAAGTCTGTCATTCTTCCCACTGTTTAACATAACAAAAGGTCTGAAGAAGCTCAGAAAGGAAGGGGAGAGGCCAGTTTTCATTCCCAAATGCAAGAGATGCTGGGCAGCCCTTGTGTTCATGACAAAAATGGGATGATGTCAGTCTAGCCACCTAACAAAACTTCTTTTCAGCTCTCCTTGTGCAAATGCAGTCTAGTTTCAACTTTTT